TTTATAACTAAGCTACATTATTTTATAACTAAAGAATATTTTCCAGAACAAACTCTATTGCATAATCGCAAATTGTCAAAGGACATTTTCCAAGCTATAACCACGGTTTTAAATAGATTTCCATTGAGATTCCGCAAATCTCAACCCCTGTACTATAACCGTGGATTTTTAAGGACATTTTCAAGACCTAGCTGTAGTCTAAAATCGTGGATTTAAAGACATTTTTTTAAAATATGTTTGTAAAAATAAATATACATTTTTAAGGATACATTATCTGACTTATAAGCGGACATTTTAAGGATTTTTTCTCTGACACATAAGAGTGGATTTTCAGGACATTTTATCACTAAGCTACATCGTTTTATAACAAAAGAATATTTTCCAGGACATACTCCATTATATAATCGTGAATTTTCAAAAGACATTTTCCAAGCTATAATGGCGGTTTTAAATAGATTTCCAGGATAAATTCTGGTTTATAAACGCAGATTTTTAAGCGCATTTTCTATGGCATATTCGTGTTAGCATTTTAAGGATATTTTTACAGGGCAAGCGATGATCTATAATCATGAAGTTGTTCAGGACATTATCTACGATAGGTTCTGGTCTATAATTGTACAGCTTTTTAGGAAATTCTGCAAATCTCAACCCCTGTACTATAACCGTGGATTTTTATGGACATTTTCAAGTCAAAGCTGTAGTCTAAAATCATGGATTTTAAGGACATTTTTTTAAATTTTTATAAAAATAAATATAATTTTTTAAGGATGGATTATCTGGCTTATAAGCGGACATTTTAAGGACTTTTATCTCTGACACATAAGAGTGGACTTTCAGGACATTTTATAACTAAGCTACATTATTTTATAACTTAAGAATATATTCTAAAACAAACTCCACTGCATAATCGCGTTTTTTTCAAAGGACATTCCCCAAGCTATAATCACGGTTTTAAAGAGATATTTTCCAGGATAAACTCTGGTTTATAAACGCAGATTTTTAAGCGCATTTTCTATGGCATATTCGTGTTGGCTTTTTAAGAATATTTTTACCAGGCAAGAGCTGATTTATAATCATGGAGTTGTTCAGGACATTATCTACGATAGGTTCTGGTCTATAATCGTACAGCTTCTTAGGAAATTCTGCAAATCTCAACCCCTGTACTATAACCGTGTATTTTTAAGGACATTTTCAATACCAAGCTCTATTATATAAACGTGGATTTTCAAGGACATTTTCAAGACCAAGCAGTAGTCGAAAATCGTGGATTTTTAAGGAATTTTTGACGACGCTTTTCTGGCTTAAAAGCTGGAATTTTTAAAGACGTTTTCTCTAACACGAAAGAGAGGACTTTTTAAGGATATTTTATAACTAAGTTACATTCGGGGGGTTTTAAAGACACTTTCGAAGCCATAATTATGGATCGTCAAAGAATATTTTCTAGCACAAACTCCATTAGATAATGGTGTATTTGCAAAGGACATTTTCCAAGCCATAATCGCAGATTTTAAAGATTTCCAGAATAAATTCCGTTTTATGAGCGCGGATTTTTAAGTGCATTTTCTCCGGCATATTCGCGTTGAGGACAATTTGTAAGCTATAATTGTGGGTTTTAAGGATGTTTCTGGCCTATGATTTATAAGCAAGCTATATCTTGGATTTTTTAATGATATTTTGTAACCATAGTCAAGCATTTTTTTTTTTTTTGGAAAATATTCTAATTTTAAATATTCTAATTTTTAAAGCTTTTTAAAGGATATTTTTAGGCAAAACGTTAGTCTTTAATAATAATCAAGGATATTTTCTAAAATATAAGATTGGAATCATGATGACATTTTCGAAGCTATATACGTGGATTTTAAAGGACATTTTGAAGCTACAGACGTGGATTTTTCAAGGACATTTTATAGGAATCACTTTGGGGATTAATCGTGGAATTTTAAAGGACATTTTGAAGCTGCAAGCGTGTATTTTTAAAGGAAATTTTATAGGAATCACTTTGGGGATTAATCGTGGATTTTTAAGGACATTTTGAAGCTGCAAACTTGGATTTTTGAAAGACAATTTGAAGCTGCAAACGTGGATTTTTAAAGGACATTTTATAGGAATAACTTTGGGGTTTAATCGTGATTTTTTTTTAAGAAAAATTTGAAGCTACAACCGTGGATTTTTAAAAGACATTTGAATTAATAAACGTGGATTTTTAAAGCACATTAATCAGGACAGGATTATTATCGTAAGGACATTTTTTAGGACTTCTAAGCTATAATTATGAACTTTTAGAGGAATTTCTAAATACATCATCTAAATTTTAATCGTGAATGCTTGAAGGATTTTTGTCTACATCAAGTTTCTGTCAAAGTTGCTGGATTTTAAAGTACAGTTGAGACTATAAATAGTCCTTTAAAATCCAGCCATTGGCCTTGGTCTAGAATGATGAAATTTTTAAGAATGTGTTTCAATTATAAGAAGTTTCACTGGGCAAACATCCGGACTTTTACGGTCAAAACCTTAAAATGTCCTTGCCATTGTTCCTGAAATGGATAGTATATTTTTATTTTTGAAAATGGATTGGTATATGGATAGTATATTTTTTGAAAAAAATATTATAAGGAGTTTCCATTGTTCCTGTTTAAAATACACACTTTTTTGAAAATGGATTGGTATTTGGATAATATATTATTTGAAAAAAATTACGTCTCTGGTTTTTGGAAAAAAAAGCTCAAATCCATTGGCATACCTTGTCCAGGTATACAATTTTGGATTTTTAAAGTCCCGTTTTTTAATCCTGGGTTTTCTTTCCTTTGCTCTAATTTGTATCACTTTTTAAGAGCCTGTCTCATGTTTTTTAACCCTGAATTTGCATTGTCTTGATTCCTGTAGATATCGGAGGAATTTTAGGGATATTTGCTTGTTTTGTCTTTGTCTCGTAGTCGAAAATATTTTAAGGAAATTCGTTTTCAAAAATATTTTTTTTAAAATTCCTTGCCATAGATCGATTTTAAAAGTCCACGTCCTTTTTTCTTACAAAAAAATATATATTTCTTTTTGTGAAACTACAATCCAATCAACCCTTGGTCTTTGAAAAAAAATGTTTTTAAGAAATTTATGTCTCTAGCTTTTTGAAAAAAAGCTCCAAGTCCATGAATTTTGCAAAAAATATTTATTGGACAAATCCACGTTCTTTGGTCTTTAAAAAAAATATATATTTAAAAAAAAAACGCAAAAACATTTATTTATTTATTTATTTATTTTTTTTTTTTTTTTTTTGATGAAATCTACGTTCTCATATCTCGAATGAATATTTTTGAGGGAATCGATCTCCCTGAATTTTTTGAAAAAAAATTGAAAAATAAACGTTCTACGTTGGTGAAAAATATTTTTTAAAAAATACACGACCTTGGATCCATCTATTTTTTTTTTCTTTTTTTTTTGAGAAAATTTGAGAACTTGGTTTTTGCAAAAAAATATTTTTTAAAAACCCACGGGTTTTGGTTTTTTCAAAAAATATTTTTTTTAAAATCCACCGGTTTGGTTTTTTCAAAAAATATTTTTTTTTTCAAAATCCACGGGTTTGGTTTTTGCAAAAATATTTTTTTAAAAATCCACTGGTTTGGTTTTTGCAAAAAATATTTTTTTAAAAACATTTTTTTAAATCCAGAGGTGTTGGTTTTTGCAAAAAAAAATATTTTTTAGTTTAGTTTTTTTAAAAATTTTTTTTTTTTTGGTTGTTGCACAAAATATTTTTTAAAAACATTTTTTTAAATCAAGAGGTGTTGGTTTTTACAAAAAATATTTTTTTGGAAAATCCAAGCCTCTTGTTTTTGCAAATAATATTTTTTTAAAAATCCACGGGTTTGGTTTTTGCAAAAAAAAAAAATTTAAAAGATCCACGTCCTTGGTTCTTGCAAAAAATATTTTTTAAATATAAACATCTTTGATTCTTGATATATTTTTTAAACCAAGCCCTTGGCTCTTGTGAAAAATATTTTTTAAAAATTATATTTCCTTGGTTCTACAAAAAATATTTTTTTAAATATACACGTCTTTGGTTCTTGCAAAATATATCTTTTTTTAAAAAATCCTAGGTTCTTGCAAAACAAATTTTGAAAATAATCCACGTCCTTAGTTTTTGTAAAATATATATATATATATTTTTTTTTTGAAAAATCCACGTCCTTGGTTTTTTCCAAAAAATATTTTTTTGGGAAAAAATACTGTATTTTGAATAGAAAATACATTTTTTAAGAATCCACCTTCTTATATTTTAAAAAATAAAAATCCACCTCCTAAGTAGTTGCATTTTTTTTTTTCTTTTTATGGAAATAATCCACTTTCTTAGTTCTCGAGATTTTTTTGTAAAACTTCGACCTTGGTCCTCGTAAAAACCATTCATATTGTCGATCCTTGGAAAAATACTTGATTACAAAATCCGCATTTGTTGTTACCTGAAAAATACATTTTTTAGGTCATATATGGATAAATAGCTTCCCTATATTCAAAAAGACTATAAAGGTCTCCTATGGAAGATGACGGAGTTTCGAATTGCCCTCCGGGGAATTTACAAATCATTTTTATACCCTCCACCATACATGGTATGGAGGGTATATTAAGTTCGTCATTCCATTTGAAACTCATCGAAATAAAAATCTCAGACCTAACAAAGTATATATATTCTTGATCAGAATACAATTCTAAGGCGATTTAGCCCTGTCGGTCCGTCTGTCTGTAGTAATCACGTTAGAGTCAGGTTAGAGTCAAAACGAACAAGCGGCTATGTTCGGTATTTTTAAGATTTTAACAGAGTTTTTAACGGATTTTATTTTTTGAAAATTTCGAAATTCATTCCAAATGGTGGAGGGTATTCAAAGTTCTGCTCGGTTGAACTTACTACTTTTTACTTGTTCTGAGTAACATTTCTTTGGCACATCCTTAAATTATATTCTAAAAGTCCTGTTTCTTCAAACACGTTTTTTTTTCTTTCTTTATTCTCTTTTCAGGGTAAATTCACCTCTAAATCCGATGTCTGGTCATTTGCTGTGACCCTTTGGGAAATTTTGACATTTTCCCGCCATCAGCCCTACGAGCATTTGAGTGATGCCAAAGTTATTGAGAATATTGGACATATCTATCAGGATAATAATAAATACGTAAGTATGCCCAAGGATCAAGACCAAAGAAAAATTATATATGCCTCTCAGATGTATTAAAGTATTTAAAAAACAATTTTAAAGGCCTAAGGGGCCCATAAAATTGCCTACAATTTTTCTTGGTCTCAAAGACTTAAAAAAATTCGTAAAATTGTATTTTTTAAGCCTTGAAGTATTTATCAAACAATTTTAAAGGCCTAAGGGGCCTATAAAATTGCCTAAAATTTTTTCCTGGTCTCAATGACTTAAAAAAATTCGTAAAATTGTATTTTCAAAATTTAATATATTTTTTTAAATTAAAATATTTTTTTCTGTTCTGTAGGAATTTTTGAAAATGCCCCCGAATTGTCCACGTGAAATCTACGATTTAATGTGCGAATGTTGGCAGCGCAACGAATCGAATCGCCCCAATTTTCGAGAAATCCATTTATTTTTGCAAAGAAAAAATCTGGGATTTAAACCGACATTGATGACATATTGAAGCATGAGCGAGCAGACGAAATAAGTGAAACGAATTTACTCAAAAAACAAGCAAAAAATATCAGAAGAATAATTTTCAATATTTATATCAATTATGAATTGAACGAAAGCACACAGACACACACTTGGAATTTTTTGATATAGAATTTAAGAGGAAAACAAATGCAATTTTTTTGTTAAACAATTATTTGTAGTGTAAGTTATTAGGTTAAGGAAATATTTCGAAATCATGTTTGAATAAAAAAAACTTCTAAAAATATTTTTAAATTTATTTTTTCAATTTTATTTTGAATTTTTATTTTTTAATATCACCATGTATTTATAAGAAAATTAGATTTAAGCCATTATTAGATTTCTTTATGGTAAAAAATCGAAAAAAAATTGAATCGAAAAAAAAAATTGTAAATTTTAAAAAAATAGTCCTGGCAAATTCTGCAGGTCTATAATCACTGAACTTGTATTGAGCAATCACCATTGATAGTTGTATTAAATTTTAAGTGAATATTTAGAAAAAAATAAATCGAAATTTTTTTTTTGTAAATACAAGATTTTAATGATTTTACCAAAGCCCTATTTCAATTTACCCCATTAGATGTGTGAATGTGTTTTCGATATGTCTGTAAGTATGTGTGTATTTTGTATGCATGTATATGTGTGAATTGAATTTTGAATATCATGAAGTTAGTACCTTTTCCATAACAAAAATAAAAAGCTAAACGCTAAAAACTCTCTCTCTCCTATCTCTCACAAACCTAAAAAAAACTATGACCTGTCCTCTCTCACTCACTCACACAAATGATGAATGAATGACTCACGTACACAATCCAGCTACAAAGAAAATATCCTTCAATTAAACCTCACAACAATTACCAGAAAAAAAAACAATTTTAGAAAAATAAAAATTAAAATAAGTCATTAAAAAAATTAAAATTCAGATCTCTCAAAAAGAAAAAAAATATGAAATAAAAATTAAAAACTCCCCTTTGCAACGGCATTGATCTTCACCTGCATAAATATTTACTCACGTTTTTTGACAATAACTGTTTAAAAAATACAAATCATCTTTCTTAGTGGACACAAAAACAAAAAAAAAAAAAACAGGCAAAGCAACACAAAAAAACAAAAATTCAAACACCTCAACTTCAAACATAAAAAAGAGCTACACAGATGGACAAACTTAGGCTTCTAGTCATAGATTTTCTAATTCTATTCTAATTTAAAATTTAATTTAATTTATGTTTTTTGGTTTAACAACTGAGATGTTTTAACTTTTGAAGGATAAATAGTTCCTGGACATCCATGAAAAATAAAACTTTTATGGGAGTTGAAGTTTTATTTTAGAAATTTCACAAAAACTAGTTCTTAAAAGTAAAGGAAAATAGTTCATATAACCCATGAAAATCGTTCATATTATCCAACCAAATCAAGTTCTAAAGTTCATAGTCTATGAAAACTAAAACATTGATGGAAATTGAAAAAAAAAAGTTAGAAAAATTCATAAAAACTTTTTCTCAAAAGTAAAGGAAAAGAGTTCATAGAATCTACGAAAAAAAAATCATGAAATCCAAAAAAAAAAAAAAACAAATTCATAAAATTCCTGAAAAAGCTCCGGAAAAATATTCCATGCCCAAGGAAAATAAAATTTTTTGGGAGTTGAATTCATAAAAACTAGTACTCAAATGCAAAAGAAAATAAGTCATAGAATCCATGAAAATTGTTCATAAAATCCACAAATACAAGTTCATAAAATTCGTGAAAAAACGCGAGAAATTTTTCAAATACAAAACCAAGCTTTTATGGGAATTGAAATATTGTTAGAAAAATGCATTAAAAATATTTTTTAAACTTAAGGAGCAAAGTTCATAGAATCCATGAAAATCATTCATAGAATACAGAAAAGTTCATAAAACTCATGAAAAAGTGCAGAAACAAATTTTAAACTTCCATTAAAAAAAATGGTTTTAAAAAAGTTCATAGAATGCATGAAAATTGTTCATAAAATAAAAAAAAAACAATTTCATGAAAAAGCACCGGAAAAATATTCAAAATCCAACGATCGTAAAGCTTTTATTGGAGTTGAAATATTGCTAGAAAAACTCATAAAATCTTGTTTAATTTAGAATTGCATTAAAAATTGGTTTTTATTGACCCCTAGTTTGGTCCTTAATTAGTCGTTTAAAATGTATGCGCTACGGTTTATTGCAACCTTGTGCTAGCGCCTTTGACATTTTAACTACTAATTATTTGTCACTTGTTTTGCCGCCTCCTTTAGACATCAAGGAGTATTTCGCTGTCGTTCGGACAGTCAACACCCGCAATATAGTTTGCAGCACATATCGTTGTGCATAGAAGGGCATATTGTTGCCACAGGTAATATCGTTACCACCAACTAAACTAGCAATAAATAGTTACATATATTAAGAAAAACCCTCTGTTGTTTTATTTCTTTTTATATTTCCCCCCTACGGTCCACTGCTCGACGCATTCGGCGTATTCACTCCCATCGGCGGAGCCCCTCTGAGCTAAACATTGGTCCAATCGAACCGGATATTCCAGCCCTCTTGAACGCATTTGGAACCCAAAAGATACAGTCCATTACTCCTGCATTACAAGGTACGTATAGTGCAGTGTTTTTAAGTGAGCTCGCGTTTTTAAATTGCCGCGACAATAACAAAACATTCGGTTTTGTTTAGGTACAAAGGTCGTTTTACAACGTCACCTCTTTGCCTCTTGTTTTGTTGCCCGCCAATCGTCGGCTTCTATTTTGGATGCTTGCATTCGGCAGCATCATAATCAAAACAAAACTCCAAAAGAAAATTATTGCAAAAATCGTTTGCTAATATTCTTTTTGTTTTGGTTCATGTATAACAACAAAACATTAAACATCTCGTTTCGTTGATACCAACAAACACGTCGTCGTTGTTAGTTATTAGTTTGGTGTGCTTTACTACCTAAAGCAAAGACCGCAATATTATTCTTTTTGTTTGGTCTGTCCGCTGTAATATTGCAAATTGTTGTTGTTACATTTATTCTTTTCTCTTGTAACAACAGTCACATTTCAAATCGCAAACAACAACAACACTGTTTAAACCCCCACCGCTGTTTGCTTGCTGTGTAGTCGTTCTCTGATCAGCACTTGTTGTTTGTGCTTTGTTAGATCAGTGAACGAACATAACAAACGAAGGAAGAATATTTTTGTTGATTCCTCTTTCTGTCGTGTCCGTTTAGGTTGAGTAGCTACACTACGTGGGTCGGTCACTTTTGTTTGTTACATTGTTTGTTATAGGACATTGGAAAGTTTAAACTAAAATAAAATAATATAGTTAATTTTATTTTTTGTTGTTGTTTTGGAAATTTAAAAATTAATACAACCTATAGACGGTAATTCTGGCAAATTAAATAAATAAAAATAAAATAGTTATTTTATTTATTTTTGTATTTTCCCCAAATTAGTTCAGTGTTTTTTTGCGATAATTATGGCCTTCGCTCCTCTACAAAATTTCATAAGAGACTCAGACGCTCTGATAGAATTTGGTGCACAAATCGGTGCAATAAAAGGTGACGATTTAGATATTAGTATATTAGAGGAAAGGAAGAGCAAGCTAGAAAAATTATGGCAATCGGTCCATAAATCGTTACGAAACTTAGAGAATTCACAAAATGTCACTAAGGAATCTCTGCATTTGGCAGAGAGTAAATATAACGACTCCATTAACATTTATTCAAGTACAATGGCAACAATTAATAGAAAAATTATCAAATGTCGGTGCATAACAAGAAATTCAAATAAAATTGCGGATAAAAATCAAGAGCAATCGGCTCAATTATTTTTGGCTCCTGAATCGCAGGAAAATATGACCGCAAATATCTCTTCTGATTGTGATATCGTTCACAATATGGCATTGCCCCCTATTGATATTGATATTTTTGAGGGAGATTTTTCTTCTTGGCCTTCCTTTCGGGATTTGTTTAGTGCCGTATATATAAATAATACCAGGTTGAGTGATGTCGAACGCATGTTCTATTTGCTTAATAAAACTGCTGGAGAAGCTCGGGAAATCGTTTCGCAGTTTCCTCTAACTAACCTTGGTTTCGCTTTCGCATGGAAAGCATTAAATGATGAATACAACAATATTCGATTATTGGTTCATCATCAACTAAAGTCGTTGTATAGTCTTCCAATTCTTCGAAAAGAAACTGCAGCGGGTCTTAAGGAGATCCGACGAGGAATAAATGGTTGCATTTTTTCTATGTCGATCTATAACGTTCCCACAGATCAATGGGATCCGATACTTGTCTTTCTTTGCCTGCAACGCTTGCCGGAAGAAACGACAATGCTATGGGAACAAGGTATTAAAAACAAATCGGCCCTTTCTTCGTGGAAAGATTTAGACACATTTCTTTCAGAAAGGATAAACACGCTTGTGTGTTTGGAAAGTTATCGAGAGAAATCGATTCCTTCGACTGATACAAATTCGTTTAATACCGCTACCAAGTCCAACTCTAAATGTTCGTATTCCCCTTCAATTGGAAAATCATGTTCTCTTTGTCGAGAGAAATGCCATCGACTTCAGTTTTGCTCAAAATTTAAGGAATTATTCCCCGCAAATAGATTTGCATTCGTCAAGCGCCACGAACATTGTATAAATTGTTTGGTAAAGGGACATAAACTAGTAAATTGTACTAGTAAAAATAGTTGTTCGAAATGTGGTCAACGTCATCACACGTTATTACATCTCGAGTCATTAAAACCGAATAGTTCGATTCCGGTTTTGACTCCAAAAGCTCAGGCAAGCTCGTCAAAATCGTTGTTGTCAGCTGCAGCCCCAGTTTTTCGTCCCTCAATATGTACATCCTCCACATGGGTTGGAGTCGAAAATTCAAAATCTAAATTTGTTTGTTTGAAATCGCTAGACAAAATGTCGAAAGAGAACTTAATTAAATTTATAAAAACAAATTTATTCAATGGAAATAATAAAAAGAAGTTTAAATTTGAAAACAATGTTGTAAAGCGACCTTCACATAAAATCGTTCTCGCGACAACTGGCAATGTATATACCGACATTGGCACAGGGTCTCAATTGGAACCCCCCTCGAATACCGTTTCGGGAAACACGTAGCTCGATTGAAGTCCGAATCTGTAACTGCAGGTTCATCTGCGGCTTCAAAATATTACATTTCGTGTAATAATATACTTGATTGAAGTCCGAATCTGTTACTGCAGATTCA